GGAGCAGGAGGAGCAGGAGGAGAAGGAGGAGCAGGAGCAGGAGGAGCAGGAGGAGCAGGAGGAGCAGGAGGAGCAGGAGGAGCAGGAGGAGCAGGAGGAGCAGGAGGAGCAGGAGGAGCAGGAGGAGCAGGGGGAGCAGGAGGAGCAGGAGGAACAGGAGGAACGGGAGGAACAGGAGGAGCAGGAGGAGCAGGAGGAGCAGGAGGAGCAGGAGGAGGAGGAGGAGAAGAGAGGAACGCGGCGACCGTCTCTTCAAACCGAGGACCCAACACCACAGGAAGGTTGGGAACAAAGGATGGGACCCCCTAGGCGCAAACACTGTCTGGAGAAACAACTTCGTTGCGGGCCCTCTCTGGCCATACCGCTCGAGAAGCGGTATACTATATAAGATGACTGTGTGTACTGTATGTTCGTGTCGGACGGACGCCTCCAACATCAGCACAACGTACAGGGGGCAGCCCAGGTTTCCCTAACTCCCCTTGGTCACCTACTTCTCCCCCGGGCGTCCGTCGTCGCAACTGATGCCCAACCCGTGCGTATATGCGTGCACATGATGAGTTGTGCCGTGGTCGAAGGCGAGTGCTTGCTGGAACCTGAGCGCGCGCGAAGCGAGCGCGTAGTTCTCCAAACGCTGAAAGAAGGACCGCCTTGGATTCGGAAGGGGCTCGCTGATCCTTGGGCCATTCCGTGGTTGTTCCTCTTGCCTTCCTCGTGCGCCCAGGCTCTGTTGGTGCCAAACAAGGTCTTCGTCCCTGATTTCAGCAACCCTACTAGAACCCTAAGCCTTCCAGATGGCGTCGGAGCGTCGGAGTAGATGGGGGTGGAGGATCGCGCAGCATGGCCGATGCATCGGCGGTGCGGCTCGATTTGGAGCCCCATTTTCGCCGATGCGTCGGCGATGCATCGCTGATGCACTGTCGATGCGGCGCGATCCTCCGACCCCATCTGCTCGGACCCCACCTAGGAGGCTTCTGAGTGCGTACTCGTATGTCCTCCTGCGCCTCCTCCTCCTCCTCCTCCTCCTGCTCGTCCTCCTCCTCCTCCTCCTCCTCCTCGTCCTCCTCCTCCTCCTCGTCCTCCCTACAGGAGCGCGCGCCGGCCGCCGCCGAGGCCCCGCCGCGGCCCTCGCCGCCGCCGCTGCTGCTGGCGGACGCGCCGCGCACGGCGCCGCCGCTGCCGGCGGCGCGCTCGGCGAACCCGCTGGCCGCGACGCCGAAGGCTGGCCCGAGCTCTCCGAGCTTCTCGGGCCTGGTGCAGGAGGAGGACTGTGCTGTTCCAACCTGCCTGAGCCCTGATCACCACAAAGAGCTTCGAGCGCCAGGGAAACACCGAAGCTGGAGGGTTTTCACGTGTCGGGCCCTGGGAAGCGTTGCTCGTCCGACTTTGTTTCGATATTTTTCGTGGTGCCCGGTACTGTTTCTGGGATGTGACCCTTAAGTACGATGGGAGCAACGTAAGAGGAGGACCGCCTGCTGATTTTGCCCTGCTTTGGCTCGGCGGCGGAGCGAGGGGGGGAACGAGGAGGAGGAAGAGGAGGAGGAAGAGGAGGAGGAGGCCATCTCAGAAGGCGGCGGCACTTCTCAGAAGCCCTCGCGCCTTCTGAGGGGTTTTCTGTGTCTTCGGGGAATGCTTCGAAAACTTATCACAAGGCCGGGAGACTTCCAAGTCTTCTCAGGAAGGCCCGCCCCTTCTCGGGCGATCGCAAACATGGATCAAGGTGGCGTGGGTTAGCGACGGGTCCCTATTCCATGGGAAATCACGGATTTCCGCCTCCGAACGAGGCGGCACCGGCCGCACTTTGGGGAGGGCACCTCCCCCGATCCGTGGATTTGGCGACCGCGCGCCAAATCCATGGATCGTAGATCCACCACCACCACCATAAGTTGGAGGGGGAGAGGGTCCTCCTCCTCCTCCTCCTCCTCCTCCTCGTCCTCCTCGTCCTCGTCGTCCTCCTCCTGCTCCACCTCCTTCCCCCTCCAACTCATGGTGCTGGTGGAAACCAGGCCCATCGTTTGCGCGCCCCCCGACCCCCCGGGGCTCGCCGCCGACGGGCGGTCCCTGCGGGTGTCGGGCCTCGGCTCTTCGCTCGGTCGCCGTCCCTCCGCCGCCGTGTCTTTCCCTCTGGTCGTCGCTCGGTGCCCTTTTTGTCGGGCTCTCCTTCGGTCCCGCTGCTGCGTGGGAGGGAGCGCTGGACTCCAACCCACGTCCAGAACAAGGGCAGGAGGAGGACTGCCAGTATCGAGGTGGGGGGATCGTGGTGGATCCCCCCACGTGGAGGAGGAGGAGGAGCAGGAGGAGGAGGAGGCGGAGGAGAAGGAGGAGGAGGAGGAGGAGGAGTAGGAGGAGGAGGAGGAAGAGGAGGAGGAGGAGGATGAGGAGGGAGGAAGAGGAGGAGGAGGAGGCGACGACAGGGGCGACCAGCCCAGGGGCGGGCATTACACGTTTTCGCCAGGGAGCCTCGCCGATGGCTTGGGCCATGGGCGTCCTTGGATTCAGGCATGGCCCTCCCCTGGGTTAATCATTCGCCCGCATCGTCGCCCCTAAATGGAGGA